GATTTGACGTTCTAATAGGATCTTTTGCCTGCCCTAAACTTTGTGTTTTTGATGCACTTCTATGCCAAACAACCAGTTCATTAATTTGTGAAGTCGAGAAAAAAATTCCGATTGATTTACAACGCCGGACTGGCAATCGAAACCACCGCCTCCGGCTTGTTAATACCGTACCTTAACAAACTAGGCCAATTGAATTCAATAGAATGTAATTTAATGTATGACAATTGGCAACACGTAGGAAATTTAAATATTTTCAGCATGTTCCAGAATTTTTTTTTGCGTTTACATAGATAGCAGAGCAGGAAAAAAAAAACTGCGTGGTGCCAAAAACGTGAAGGTTCTATTTCTGTAGTTACAATAATGGATTAGCTTCAGGAACATGTGTTCCTTAACTTTTTATTAAATAACGTTTCTCTACTGTTGCACCGTTGTGCAATTTTTTTTTGTAATTTTTGCTCAGAAAACGATTTGAAAGTGCTAAAATATTGTTTTCTGTGCAAACAATACAAAATAACGCACACCAAGAAAAAAATCCAAAAATTTACCAAATGTTGTTGATAACGATTAAGAAATAATAGAGATGAACTAGCCTAAGCTAAAAATCTCTTTAATAAAGCTTAAAAAAAAAAAAAAAGATTACGCTATAAGAAGTGTTTTCTGCATGGGGTGAAAACGGAAATGATGGACAGTAAATAAAATGCATGTTTAAAATTCATTTTCCATAATCAATTTATGAATTACATTTCAATATTTGGTATAACCTTGTATGTCTTTGAGCAGTACAAAACCGAAAGCTCATTTTTTTTTCAAATACTTAATTTGCGTTATTTTTAGCTCGATGGCTAGTCCAGAAAGCTTGAACATATGATTTGTAAAACGAAAATATGTTGTTGTCATCCAATTAATATATGAATATATGGGTATGGAGCTTGAGAGGTTGCAGGTTGCATTTACTTTACTTACCCCACGATGAATGACAACCCGTAAAAAAAGAATAATAGAGGTACAATGAAATTCATTATAACCATACAATAGAATTTATTGTATTATCAATCAATCGAATTGTCCACAACGATAAAATAACCGTAGAATTTACAATTTCCATAATAGAATCTATGGTAAGTAATAAAATCTACAAGGAGGTTGTTATGTATCTTAACCGTCAAAAAAAATCGCTTTTTCCCGAACAAACTTGAACCATTTACCATTAATTATATTGTTTTATTTTTTAACAATTGAAGACTTACTGCTATAGGGACATATTGTAGGTTTATTGTAACAAGAATATTTTAAATTTACTTGTATGATATACATACAATAAGATATATTGTTGGCAACAGATTTTGTTGTGATTGTATCTTATTTTATGGTAATTTTTTTTCCAGGCAGTCTTCATAGCACAACTATACAAAATTAATCTGGAGACTACACAAGAGCAAACTACAATTGAAGAAACTAAATTATTTGTACTTGGTGATGAAACTCAATTAATCGCTCCAGTTTCTTGGATTTATTTTATTTCACCACGAAATTCATATATTCGCTCTTTTCATATGACATGAATAGGCAATTATGACATCCACAAATGGTGAAACAAAGAGTTGGTTTCAAATTGAGAAAAACCGTTGCTGCGATGAAGGACAATCTTGTTGTTTACGTTGTGTTGCGACTATTTGCAAGTGGGTACGTGAAACTAAGTTAATCTGTCACCTTTTCGGGTACTTGTAAAATATATTCCCCTTCCGATTGAGCAAATGCTGCGAAGAATGAATCTTCTTTTTAACGTAATGGGAAATTAATAGCTCAAATGTTTTTATTAGGGCATAATGTAAACCTGCTTCAGATGTTATCTTGATGAAAACTGCTTTCTTCTCCAAGATCCGGTAAGATGCATTCATGTCAACGGGATTCGCATCAAGGATTCAGTGATTTTACGAAATTGGCAATCTCGTCCATGGAGGGCTTCGCACATTGAAGAGCAAAAGCAGAAACAACCAAAACGAAGCACAAAGCAGACTGCATTTGTGAAGACGAGAGCTCGGAAGCTGTACGACTCAATGCTGGGAAAAAATCGGGTTGTATAATCATGGATGATGAGACATACGTGACACTCGATTATCAGACTCTGCCAGGACAGCAGTTTTACACTTCGCCCAAAGGAAAGGATGTTCCTGCATCTGTCAAAACCATTTACACCGAAAAATTCAGCAAGATTGTCATGGTTTGGCAGGCGATATGCCAGTGTGGAAAAATTTCTCGACCATTTATAACGACAGACGCAATGAATGGCAATGTAAAACCTGTAATTTTTTGGCCTGCTCTTGCTTCCTGCCACTATTCAAAGGATTCGCTAGAGTGAAACAAGGATAATAAAGTCACATATGGTCCAAAGAGATGAATCCGCCAATTTACCAGAGGCTCGCCCTAACTTTAACAAAGGCAAAGCTTAGGAAACATGTTAAACCAGCGGATACAGTTGAAAAATTCAATAAAGATTGGTTTAAAGTGGTAAAAATAGTAGGTGAAGGTACTGTGCAAAATCTAATGAGCAGGGTCAATGGAAAAGTTAGAAAACTCGGCTACACTCGATAAAATCCTGCAAATTGAATTTATGTTTGAAAGCAAACATGATAATAAACAACATTTGAAAATAAAATGACCCAAAACTTAACTCTAGTTTTATCAAATTCACTAACAAAGTGTATTTATAATTAACGGAACAGGCTATACTTTCATAATAATATTATAATCATTGGCTTTAACCATAACAATATTATAATTTTTGCTTCCAACGGCGACGACGACGGCAACACCTGAGCTGCAGGCAATGAAAAAAAGTGCACCAAAAGCAGTAAACAACTCAGTGTACACATTTCAAAGGAGCGTAATTGCTTTTGTAATCATTGGCTTTAACCGTCGATTTCTCACGAATTAAAGCTCACCCCTCCAAATTAATAATGCTAGCTGGTAGAGGAAACATTCCTCTACTTGTTGGTTTCATTAATTTTCATGTGTGAGCTTTTATTCGCGAGAAATCGACGGCTAAAGCCATTGTTTACAAAAGCAAATACGCCCCTTTGAAATGTTGACACTGAACTTTCGATAGCGTGATCGACACCGTCAAAAACAACTGCTGCAGCTTCGATAGTTGAGAGCGAACTGATATAAAACTATGTTAAAACTGATTAAATCACTCGGCCAGAAGTCATTAAAACCTTTTAAATTGTCCATCTGACAGCCTTGAAAGCTTTGATTTGGTTTTACTCAACTAATTGGATGCAGTGCTGCAAAATCTCGACAATACACGGTGATATTGTCAATTTTGCTTTGGTCACTCATTTGAACTAACTGTCATAGTCAAGGCAAACCATGTCAATTGTCAATGACAATGCTGTCAGTGACGAACTTGTGTAGATTTTTATAGTAACTAAATTTGTAACGAAATTAAATTACTTGAGCTAAGAGATGAACTAGCCTATGGCTAAAAATCTCTTTAATAAAGAAAAAAAAAATTACTTGAGCAACACATTTACATGTAGTCGTTGATGTAAACAAGCATCTACGTCCTGAACTACTTGGATAACAAAAATGTAACACAGAATGTACGAAATTACATTTTTTGTTCCCAGGTTAATCTTTGTCATTGACGAAAACATGAATGAAATTTTGACGAAGGTTTTTTTGAGGATCAAGTCTGTGACTATGTGACGAACAATTTTGTCAATATCGTGCGAAAGTCTGGCAATGACAATGACAAATCTCAGCACTGATTTGATGTATTCTGCTAGGTATTCAATTGAATCTTATTGTGGTTTAATTCTATAACAATGTTGGCCTTGTGACCACGAAGCAAAATATCAGATTGTTGGTATAAAACTGATATTCAACTAATTGAATGAAGGGAACATAATTGTCACTTTCAACCTATAAGGCATGTTTGGAGGCATGCCGTGCAATGTTAATGATAAGCATATGTAAGGTATCGTGAAAATATTCGTTGTTAGAAAAAATTTGCAAAGTAGTGATTTATGACCCAAAAAAACAATGCTTTCTAGATAATGTTTAATACATTACCACTCAACGCTGATCTTTAAGGAATGATGTTCACATACGGGCGGTGGATTTATATATCTGTGACAGGAAAATTATTCGATTTACATATTTAATTATATGAAGGGTTGTCACAGATATCTGTGCTATGCAATGTCTTAATTAGAATAAAAGGGACTTCTGGGGGGAGGAAGACGTCTGGATTACACATTAACGCAACCAAAGGTCGAGTAGCGTATGTTTCCGTTTGGGAACACTTTATATTACATGACATGTTTGGAATTTACGTCAGAGATGGATTAAGTCTCGTGTGAAAATAGTTATTTTTAAGTGAGTATATATAAATCACTCTTAATTGCCCTGTAATAAAAAAACAAACCCTGGTTTCCTTCTATAAAACCTGTTACCCTAGCTTTGTAATCTACATTCGACTTGGAATAGTTTCTACTCATACACTACATCCACTGAAGCAAATCAAAGCTCCACTGCACTAGAAGTCAGCAGCAGTGTGGTATGCTGTAAATGGGGAATTAATACGCGGTTGGTCCAATATTCCATTAATTAGGTCGACATAGAGCGTTGTTTGCCTTTACATCGCGGTACCTGTATGCTGTGCACATGAGCAGACTCATTTTTCAATCATACATTCACTCAAACTTATCTATCGTGGCAAATTTCTCACATAGGGGAAATGGTTGTAATGTCGGCCTAAATGCCCCTAATTTGGATCCATACATAAATTCAGCAATCGACTAAATTTTCAATAGCGACCAAAAATATCCATTATTACCGTCCCAATGACGCGTTCATCTGGATAAAATTCATAAATAGCAGATTTTTAGCGATGGGCCCAATCTTAGATCCATAGGCCAATATTAGAGCCATTTCCCCTATCTACCACATATAGGAACTGATGATTTTTTTTTTCCTTTTTCGTCTCTATTTTTCAGCTATTCAAGATAACGAATTCATCAACGATTTGCTAGAGGAGCGTAGGCATTACGAGGCGGCTCAGAAATCAATTGCCGAGTGGAGAAGCACGCTAACCAGAAACAGGTAAAACCCAAGGGTGTCGTAAAAATCGGTTATGTAGCCCTATTTGGACATTGTTTATGGTGGAAATGTAAATCATAATTTATTACAGTCACACATGAGAAAACGATTAGCTGTCGCATATATGATTAGGTAATTTCAATGAATCACGGCGTAAGCACCGAGTTGATCGACCAATAATGTGAAACTACAAGCCAACGTTGTGCTAAGTATACACAAACAGCAATTCCATAGAAAAAATTATAATGAATCTCAGAATTTCATTAAAATTGGAATAGTTCTTCCTTATCAAAAAATATTACACTCGATTTTTTTTTACTCCGCCCTTAGGGTGACCATTTCTGTGTTAGGGTGGTCCGAAAAATCTATTTTATTTTCAAAAATGCTTTTTTACAGTTGACCCTAAGAATTTTTAAATGTTTGATTTCGTATTAAAAAAAACGTAGCAAATGCTTTTTATTGATTTACACTGCAAGTGTCTTCAACAACTTCTTATTTTCATATTTTTAATTGAAAGATCAGCAATTTCGTCACGGAGATAAAAAAAAAAATAAACAAAAAAAAAACATTGTTCCGCAGCATAAACACCACACGTGCATGGAAACGATGAAGACGCAAGGGCTGTCCATAAACCACGTAGACCAATTTTCAGACACTGCAGACACTACTTTCCCCGTCGTATATATATATTTTTTTAATATTTTTACCGAGTGTAAACTTTGATTGGACTCCCTTACCCCTTTAAAGTCTACTTGGCTTTCAAACAGGCCCCAATTTGACATTATGCATTTTGGTATCAAAATCCTGGGATAAATACTTAAATGCTACAAAGAATAACGAGTACGACGAAATATACGTAAAATATCAAGCATTTATATTTGTACCTTCCTAAAAGTTGTCTAGCTCGCTTCTACTCTATATATGCAATATTCACACTGCCGTACTCTAAACGGAACTATCAATTCTATACTTTCATCTCCTCATCTATCGTATAAAAATTACCACTTTAGTCTGTTATTTGAAATTAGCATCTTCAACATGTTTCGTGGATTCCTGGAGAAAAGTGTAGATATCATTAACCAGTTATTTTATTTAACTAGCACTGTAAAGTTAAATTCATAAATAGTAGCAAAAACATATTTTCAGAAATGTCCATATGCAAACAAAAGTTTGAACACACTTTTATGTGGATTGACGAGAGTTACACGTGATCTTTAGCCATATATACGAAGTATATTGTGATCATATCCAAGTGTTCTCTTAATATATTAATACGATATATCTACATATTTTAAGATATTTTAACCAAATTTAAGTTTTGGCCCAATGTTACATTGGTCTATTTATTTTATTCAATTTTAGTAAAATGATATATCAATTTGAATCAACCATTTCCATGATAGTCGTAAATTTATTATTGATGAATAACATGCTTAAATTGTTTTACTTGCTAAAAAAGATGTATGGAACGATTTTTTTTTTAATATTCTGGCCCAATGTCGCCTCCACTTACGGTATTGATAAAATTATACGGATAAATCTTAAGAATTTGATCAACTAACATTCAGGATGTCAGAAACTGTGATGAGTTTTTTGACTCTTTAAAACTGGAATGAAATCACGATGGTTTAATACTGATGTCCTATTCATTTACTCCACTTGAAAAATACACTCCAACATTTCTGAATTGATAATTATTAATCAAAAGTTTATTGGTTCTCTCCAACAGGAAAAAACGAGCTGACAAAGTTGTCTGCTATGGAGAACTTGGATGTTTCGAGGAAACTGCGTATCTGGAAATGCTTCCATCGCCACCGGAGGAAATCGACACGAAATTTTTCGTGTATTCAGCCAAGCACAGGTAAGTGATCTCCGAAACAAATTCTTTGTGTGTGTTCTTCTCACTACTGACTACTAAGCTATGCTAGAAGTGCATTCAATAGATCTAATAAAGCTACCTGTTAGTGGAAGTCGTTTTCCTCGATGAGAGGCGAAGGTCAATGGCTCAAGTGAGAGCACCGGTTATAGGTAGCACTTCATGGTTAGTCTCTTGCTCAACCTGTTTGATTGAACGTCGTATGAATCATGTGTTTGAAAAGTGGCGCCTTGGTTCAAATCGTGCAACAAATTAGCTAACACGAGCAAACAAATTATGCTGATGACGATCAGTTGAGTCGGAAATTGTGAAAAACGGAATTGACACGAGCCAAACGATGAAGCAATCAAAAAATATCTTTCGCATACACACACAATGTTGCCATTGAAATGAGAAAGGACAATGACACGCTATACTTGAAGTTGAGATACGCATGCATATTGAAGTATAGAGAAAATATAACGCATTCATGCATACAGCTCGAAGCCAATTATGATCGTGGCCTTATGTGCAGCCTGGCGTGAAGTGCAAGTTCGCGCGCTTATTTTCCCGCGAGGCTAATGAATCATGGACGTTGATATCCTTTGAAATTAATTGCATGGTAGACAACTGAGTGCATGAAAGCATTTTTTTAAATAAATTTCTTCATGGCTTAAATCCAAGATGTTCCAACTTTAACCTATGGCTGCTGTCATCTGGTGTACTTATAACCACATCCACAGTTGTTAACTCACAGTATTTTTTGCATTCTCATATTGTATGGCTTTATGCCTTAAATAGTCAAAAAAATAACAGACGCGAAGGGATCCCTATCTGGCCGGGGAATTGAACTCGTCTTCCGCAACACGGTGTGCTTTATGATCAATTAGTTGACACTTACAACTGACCCCCCTGGGACCACTGAATAACATTAAAGATCATGATTTTTTTTAAAGCTTAAGTCTTGACTGCTTGATCTCCGTTTATTTCGTCGTTTTTACGACATTAATTCCAACAACTTTATGTGTGCCAAAATCAACATTTTACTTGAACCACATTCATTTGAAGCTAGTTTTATGCGTTTATTGACCCACCAGTGTAGTGGTGTGTTTCAGGACAGATTTTTTTGAATACCATAACTATCTATAATAGCAAAACCAGTTGAAATAAGGAACCATGAACTTATTACGTTTAAAAAAAATAATTTTCTTACGTTCACTTACAAGGGAGGCAGGGAATCTCAGAAATACCTTACGAAATCATGAAGAATGCAGAACATGTTAATGTTCGTTTTCCGATCTTAATAAGGGGGTATTAAGATCGGAAAACGAACATTAACATGTTCTGCATTCTTCATGATTTCGTAAGGTATTTCTGAGATTCCCTGCCTCCCTTGTAAGTAAACGTAAGAAAATTATTTTTTTAATTGTAATTGTTAATTGCTGGAGCTGGAAAAGAAAAGTCCCTAGGAAAAATTCACGTAATAGGAGCATGGTCCCTAATTTAATTTGAAGGAACTGCCACTTTCGAATAAATTTCATTAGAAGCCTTGAATAATTTGAAAAATTTTGTGTCCTACTGATTTTGTTTTCAATATAAACAAACTACGTAGGTAATGTCATTGAACTCTATTGCTCATGGTTTCAGAGACAAAAATCAGCACCACGAAATTAAGTACCACTTTTATTGAAAGCAGAAACACCACCTGTCTGCTTCCTAGATCTCATAATGGGGCAATAAAATGCGTTTTTCTGCGTCTGGTTTGTGGTGTTTGCGGCTTTTTCTTACACTTTGACTTAGACATCTGACTATCTTACAAATGATTCATTCGGCTATGACAAAGCCAGTAGCGTTGCACATTGATTTCCTCGTTTATTCACAATGGATTAAAACCATGGTTGGGTTTTGCTTCACATGCCGCTATGAAAAAAGGTACGGTGATTTCGTTTGTATGAAGAAAGCCGGAAAATGTTTATTTTAACGAAATATTACTCTTCATGAAAAAAAAATTGTAATCCAATTTTTTCTGTTTTGGCTTTCAAAATCGATATTTTTGGAAAAATATTCAAATCTCCATACTTTTTTCCGGTTAACTTTATGCCCATAGGAAGGAGGTGCCATGTTGTCAATAGTGGTGAGATGAAAACTGACAGCATACAGTGATCCATTGATAGATTTCAATTTAATTTTTTATTAATTTTCTTTTTCATAGCAATATACGTTTCAATTACAAATTATTGTCCATCCTCAATATGGATAGTAACAATATTGTTTGAGTTGTTAAATCAAAAAGCCTCTCAACAATTTTAATTTGGAAATTGGGAGCAAGCACATTATCCAATATGCAAATATCCATGACCGGATACGATTTCCTAAGATACGGTGTCCCAGAACTCAGTATGAACTCTCATAGTAGTATACCGGAAAGCGCAAGTGTAGCCGGCGCCGGTGGTGTAGTGGTAAGCGTGACTGCTTTCTCACCCCAATGGGTCTGGGTTCAATCTCAGCCGAGGTCGGTGGGATTTTTCTGAGGCATAAACATCTCTGGTCACGTCTTCCTTCGGAAGGGAAGTAAAGCTGTTGGTCCCGGCCCATGTGTGCTGAATGGGTGCGATATCCTACGCAGGTGTGGAAGCTGCCTTCCTGCACATTCGATTGCCGTCAATGGATGGCAATCGATGTCCGTCGGTGATTGGCACTAGATTGCGGAACAGAGACCGACGTTAAATAAATGAAAGAAGAAGGAAAGTGCAAGTGCTAAATATCATACGATATAATTTATTTACACTAACGCAACTTTTACTCTCATCATAGCATGGCTCGTTTCTTTGCTCGCAATCCATATTTAGGGAATAGGTACACAGGCTGATTAACACGCTAGGTGCTAAATAAGAAAGGAAACTCCAATGAAAAATATTGCATCACCAATGTGTTAATTATGACGTTAGCTACTTCCGTATGTATGTAATCGAAATCACTAACGAAGCATTAATTATGATATGTCAATAGATTTAATTTGATACTACTTAGCTAATAGAGTAGAAAAATACGTAACATAGGTGTTCAAAACAGTAAACGGTTGATTTAATTCTGGAATGAATTAAAAAAAAATTCAAATGAGTTTTAACTGTGAATAGTGATGACAGTGTGAAGGAATAAGCTCCATTGACTAACCGAATCCCAGAGGCGTAAAATGCGTGGCGATACTATGAGCAAGCACGCTTCTCGGCAACGAGACAGGCGTACTGCGTCACAGAATTGCTACGCATTTTGCACCAGTGGGGTTCTGTCAGTTAATCGACTGCTGTATGCTGCCTGTTCGTTATGATCTAACTAGTACTTACATCATTTCATAATACTGTCAGTTTTGATCTCACAAATACTGTCAATATGGCGCCCTTTCCAAGAGCTAGAGAAACAATGTAAGGAGATTAAGTTTTAATCAGTTTTACAAATTACAATCAATTCTGTTTTTACGCGATATTTTTGATCTTAAAATCATTTGATCTCTTGAAATTTAAGCCACCAAATTTAAGTGGTCCAGAAATGAAAAGTACAATACAATTTTTGTCCCAGAAATTGCAACTTTACCAGCACAGTGTCTTTTGTGAAATTGTTGCTTATAATTGTTACAGTTATGCCGCGGATACACTTGTATGGCAAAGTATGAGCATGAGCATGATTTGTATATTAAATTATCACACTGGTATAGTTTTTGGATGATTATACAAATAATGCTAATGCTCATAGTTTGTTTGGTGATTGGTGAATAATTATACACCTTCCATGCAGCAATCAGATAACGATGAGGTGGTTCTTAGATAATGACTTATGCGAATCGATTGCAATCAACCGAATATTAAATGAGTTGATCCTTAACATAGAAGCGTACAGTGTTGGAAAAAAATAAAAAAAATAAATCTCACCAATGCCCAAGATCACACTTGATTTTCGTAGACAAAAATCAACAAGCAGGCAACTGCGGATGATATTACAAGCCGTGATATCGTAGCTACGAAGCTAACAAAACTCACCAGCTACGATTCTAACCAAACCGTGGTGAATCAAACGTCTCGAACGTTTAACGGCGCCGGTGGTGTAGTGGTAAGCGTGATTACCTCTCACCCCAGAAGGCCTGGGTTCAATCCCAGTCGGCGCCGTCAGGATGTTCCGCCTTCCTTCGCATGGGCGTCACAATATCAGCTTCAATCGACCAAATCGTCGCGACGAAGAGACTACTGGTTTTCTTTCTCTGTTAAAGTCGAACAACTTCGCAGCATTCTAAAACCGCAGTCGGCGTGCACAAACAAATATTAAATCGCTTGTTTTTCTTTTCCCGGTCGCTCCATTGGTCTTTCTTTCAAGCTTCGGTATGTTCGGTAATGTTGGCCTATGGATCTAAGATTGGGATCATCGTTAAAAATCTGCTATTTATCAATTTTATCTCATGGATATTTTTGGTCGCTATTGAAAATTTAGTTGATTGCTAAATTTATGTATGGGTCCAAATTAGGGGAATTTAGGCCGACATTACATCCATTTCCCCTATATATTAAAATAATTTCTCACGTGAAACACTTGAAGATTATAGGTATTATATGATTACATAATGAAGTTTCGTTTAACTTGAAAATCGACGGTACTTACATTGAAAGCGATGAGCAAAGCAACGACGAAAGATCCACAGCCAGCCTTTCCTTCTAAGCGTGCTTCTTTTTCATTTTCATTTTCGTTTCTTTTTTTTTCCTCGATTTGTTTTTCGTCGATCTTGTTTTCCGTGCTGAGCACCAATGCTACCGACGCCAGGGAGGCAGCTCCCACACTTAGACCCTACCTATCGACCCATCAACTCATGAACCGAAGGAAGGCGTGATTAGAGATGTTATGCCTCAGAACATTCTGGCGGCGCCGACTGGGATTGAGGTAATCACGCTTACCACTACACCACCGGCGCCGCCAGTTTCGTTTCTTGCTTGACAATCTGTGTAGTGTATCTTAAAGGCTGGCCAAATTTATTCATACCAATGAAGAGTTACGATTAATGTATTGCAATCATTGTAAACATCCTTAACAAATAAAACATAAACATAAAAGAAAACGATTCAAACAAAAATGCAAGATTCAAAATGGCCGAATTTTTGAAAAAATCTGAATGATTGCCAATAATAAACAATTATGTAAATTTCGTGCAAATCGGAGACGGTCGAGTTTTTTTTCCGATTCGTTTGGCATGGATCTGCTTAATATTAGAAAAGTGGGATTTGTATAAAAATGGAGGGTTTCTAAAAGACATGATTCATTTCTAATGCGGATATTTACCTTCAATTTTAGCTGCAGACTATACAGAAAAAATCTGAATTTTAATTATGATGTAAACATTGATTTACGTAACTTGTATTTCATTTCATGCAATCGAGCAACTTGTAAGCAACGTTGTTTTCAAATATGAGCTTTTGTATACAATATTTGCAACATTTCATGAAATTTCTCAGAACTTTATACGATTCATAATGTAAATTTATATGATATGTGACGCTCCATTTATGTGCATCATATTGTTTCTGTTCACACTACTTTTTTGAACTATAGCTTATACAGGCAGAAATTAGCTGCATAAGGCAAATTTTGCCTGTATAAGCTTATCTACAGCTAAAATCGTTAGTTGGAAAGTTTATCTGGACCGTCCTGAAAGCTTCGTATGCTTAAAACTCATCGGACATTTCGTCTGAACCTTCTTAACCCTTAAATACATCCCGATTCGCACTCTATGCGCTTTTAAGTCTTCTGGAACTTATCAAATCTATAATCTACTAATCATATCCTTGTAGTAATTTTAAGAAACCCACTCTAAACCACTAGTGAAAATTCATGATAATGCATAGGCAGTTTTGCAATTGAAGTGTACTAAACTTTTTCTTTACTTTACACGTCCCAAAGTTGTCAGAATCGTCCCTAATACCCTTATGATTGACTTTGGAGTCTTCCACGGAACATGCCCATTTATTTATTTTTGCATATTCAATATATTTAACGTGTCCACGTGGACATTGATCAATCCTGCCTCCCTTTCCCCGTGGACAAGTGCTGACATTTTTGTACAAAATCCCCCTCCCAATGTTGTCCACGTGGTATATGTATGGCCCTTATGTTTCTTTCCTGGGGATGACCGTACGAGCCGACTTGGTACAATGGTTATTAGACTGGCCCACATTTATATGGGAGATTATTTTATCGTTTTTTTTTTTCAACGGGCCAACCACCAGATTTGTGCTATTAGGTGAGAAAATCACTCTCTAAAAATTTCAACTTATTCGGATGTAACACGAGCTGGCGCTTTTGGCTTAAAGTTAATATGGGGGCTTTTCGAAATGTATGGAGAACTAAGATCCCTTCACTCTTTCGTGCATAAAACTGGTTCAGCAAACTCTTTTAAGCTCAGAATTTCAGCATCATGATTTAAGTTAGTATTATGGAGATATTCATTCTTGAATTTATATGTGCATTTTGTTCGTATATTGCAGCAAAATACAGGCAGCTTTTTGACGTTACTCGGAATGGCGCTTTTGGTTTAATGTTCATATAGGAGATTTGGTTTATATTTTCATATAAAAAATGCTCATATAGGGGAAATGGCTCTAATGTTGGCCTATGGACCTAAAATTGGGCCCATCGTTAAAAATATGCTATTTATCAATTGTATCTAGATGAACGCGTCATTGGGACGGTACTAATGAATATTTTTGGTTGCTATTGAAAATTTAGTCGATTGCTGAATTTATGTATGGGCCCAAATTAGGGACACTTAGGCCGACATTACATACATTTCCCCTATATTCAAAAGCGAATATCTCAATAAAACTAACTGGATTCATAATGCAGTCTTCAGCAAAGTTGTTGCTTATTGTTTGAACTACATGTTTTGAAAATCTGAATCAAATCGAGAATAAGGAAACTTTTTTATGATCGATAGAGTGTAGGAGTGTCGTTTCTTCATGTATTTTATCCAAAATCCACATACAAAATTCAAACTAAAAGCGCCAGCTCATCCTACAACCAAATGAGCTAAAACTTTCAGAGAATGGTTTTCTCACCTAGAAGTTGGCCCGTGGAAAATAAGAATTTTTATTTTTGTGGGCCAGTCTAATGGTTATCCTTGCCACAAGCTCGCTAATTGTGATGGAGGTATGCCAGCTACCTACTCTAGTTTCCCTTTGGTGGCTGCGTACAAGAGATGTTTCCACAAAATAGAATGCCGCTCAAAACATAGTTGTGTTAGCATAACTCAAATTTTAAGTGAAAGTTGTCTACTACGAGTTTTTAAATCTCATTAACTACCCAGAATCACATATCAGTCTCATTTGAAAAAAGTAGGCATTGATAAAATTGCAGTCGAAGTTACGAAGTGCGATTTTATATGTAATGAAAAATCGTAGCAAATTTATCAATATATTTTTCGAGTTATAATCAGTTTCAATTAAGTGTGCATGTTTTATTATATCAGAAAAAATACGGTAATTACAAAAAAAAAACAGAACTGTAACTTGACTTCTGAACGATGAAATATCAGAATGAGACTGATATGCGATTACTTTGCTTAATGGAACAAACTGTGTTTCAACTTATTTCACATTTGTCACGATCAAAGTCTGTAAATTTATCACACAATATAAGAGTAGATACTATTTTTGATATGCGATTTTAGACAGTTAAGTAGAAGAAAGTACCGTAAAACGGGGTCAATTTTATCTGCGGGGTGTATTTGATCACTGATGTTTCTCATTATTTTTCTTCAAGTGCAGTATTATATCTGAACAAAAACAATGAGGAACTTCAGTGATCAAATACATCCCACTGATCAATTTGACCCCGTTTTACGGTACCTAAATATTTTTTTATAAAAAAATATAATATATAAATTCTTTAATTTTCAGGAGTACCTATGGGATAAATTAATAAAGAGTTATTTTTATTATTATTAAATAATAAATCTCATCTCATCTTGTCCGTGGTAATCACACTTTGTATATCTTTCATTTTCAGGAGTGAGAAACCCATTCTGGAGTTTTTCTATGATGAGATAGCGAAAACCACTAACGGTACGTCGACGCCACCGCCGCCGCCGCAACCACTGCCAAAATCATCATCGGCATCTTCGAAGGCAAGCAATGGAACCACCCCGGTCAAGCATCGTTATGCGCCTCAGAAAATTTATGAGAAATTCGGTAACTTAGAGAACGTTACAGCGCGGGCCATCATTCATGGCTTCGGGTCGAGCTGTACGCACGTATGGGTGTACGAGATGAGGACAGCACTCATGGCAGTGGTATGATCGAATTCTATACGTAACATTAGACGTAACACAGTTCACAGCATATTCTCTTGTTATATCTAATTACACACTTGATGTACGCATCGATTATTGCAGGAAGATTGCATTGTTCTTTGCATGGACTGGGAAAATGGTGCCACACTGCCAAACTACGTACGAGCGGCGGCCAACACACGTCTTGTCGGAAGGCAACTAGCATATCTATTAAAGGGACTTGAAAAACACAATAAACTTAACATGTCTCGAGTTCATTTGATCGGTTTCAGTTTAGGTTCACACGTAGCCGGATTTGCCGGAATGGAACTAAAAGGTTTACAGCGAATCACCGGTCTTGACCCTGCAGGGCCATTATTTGAGTCACAACACCCACATGCTCGGCTAGATGATACCGATGCTGGTTTTGTGGATGTGATCCATTCCAATGGAGAAAATTTAATTCTCGGTGGTTTAGGTTCATGGCAACCGATGGGTACGGTTGATTTCTATCCAAACGGAGGACGCGTTCAGCATGGCTGTTCGAATCTATTCGTAGGCGCTGTAACCGACATTATCTGGGGTAATGGATTGCCGATGAATCTCAAAGAGTATTGCTAAAGCACTTTCTGTCTCTTATTTCAGCTCCACCAGCTTCAGTGGAAGGACGCTCGCTATGCAACCATCGAAGAGCTTATAAATTTTTCATCGACTCCGTGGCACCAAAGTGCCTCTTTCCTGCATTTCCCTGTGATAATTATGAAAATTTCCTGAAAGGAGACTGTTTCACATGCAACCAAGTGGACAACGGAACGGAAACGTCCGTCTGCGGTAACATGGGATACTATGCGGATCGATCAGTTGGTCAAGGTCAGCTGTATTTGAAAACACGTGAAGAAGAACCGTTCTGTGCGCATCAGTATAAACTGCAAATCCTGAGCTCACCCAATGAGCTACCTCTAAGGACGCTCGGTAGACTAGAAATCGAGCTGGAAAGTGACGGTGGTCTGACGGAGGTGTTCACAATTACTGAGTAATGTATCGTTGATCTGAGTGACTACTCCGAAGGTGTTTCACTATTTCCACCTGATTATTTGAATAACGCCAAATCAAGCTGAACATTGCAATAGGTCCTAAGTAACATTGATCGATTCTCTTCGTCGACTTTCTCTTTCGTTAATAACACTAGTTTACAGCATATTTGAACTTTGTACGCTGATGGTCATTTCACATGTAAAATCATGCGCTGAATCCAAAAATGTAGTCCAAAAAATCTCAGTAGGATAATTTTCAAGATATAGCTAAAATAACTTTAAAAAATGTGTTTACTAAAACACAAATATCTCCGATTTTGATGAAGTTATATTAATTAATTTAACGTCAAACTAATGGTGATGAAATTTGCTTTCGATTATTTGAACACCAGTTTTCAGTGAGATTAGTGGTAAAACCACTACAAACATTTTTATTTCCACTGTTTGAAAACTTAGCAGAAAAATGCAAATGTCTGTAGAGTCACGCCCATTCCGAGGTTACGCCCATTCCGAGGTTACTTTCACTTACAATAAGCCCCGCATGTATGAATTACCTCTATCAATTGGATATTAGTATTACATACACACTTCCAGGTTCGAAAATATTCTTTTCAAACCTAGCGCGTATTTAGTTTAATTTTGATGTTTAATTTATAAATAATAATAATAGACTCGGTCTCACTATGTTCCGCTGGTCTGCCGCCATTGATTGCTTCTTTTGGAATCAAAGCTTCTTTTATCGATCTGTGTGCTGAAAATAACTGGGAATGTTTTTACATGGTCGTAGGGATACAAAGAGAAAGTCAACGAAGATAATCTGTCAATGTTTCTTAGAACCTAATGCAATGTTGAGCTTGAAATGCTTATTGTCGGCGTTAACGGCACCGTAGAAAATCGGCTCTTGTGACAAAAATTGACAGTTTCTCGTGTTAATTTTCGGTTGAGTGAAACAATAGTACGAAGTCTGCTATGTTCCACGCATAGACTGACGTATGCTTATGGGATTTTACCATAGGAGTAAAGAGTTACACCTTCACCGTCGTTGATGAGGGTAAGGATAATGACATTATTGACGTACGACTACGTCTTTTCCGAAGGTATGGGGAACCATTTCACAATAGACAAGGTTGCTTCCACTCACTTCGCTGTAAACAATATTTTTCGGAATTATGGAATCATTGAATACCAACATTATATTCTGTCCCTATAAGTTATAAAAAGAGGGTAGGATATTTACGGTCCAGTGATTGAACGAAATCCACAGACAGTGGCCCTTATTACCGATGAATCACTTCACCGTGTGTGACAACTGGTCACTTCACTTCGTTTTCACCGTAAAGTGACACGCGTAATAAGGGTCAGTATCAGGATTTTTTTAATTGAAGTAATCTTTATCGTCAATAATATCCTTATTTTCACTGTTTTCGGTTTTCTTAAAATATTCTGTTATTTGATGCCAACATCGCTGGGTTTGTTTTGTTCCTTTTTATAAATGTTCAACTATATTCCTTTAGATCTTCAATGTATAATATAATATGATTTGAAATTTGTTTCTTGCTTCCACTTCTTTTTCTGTGTTTCGGTTTTTTTGTTTTTGTAAACATTTCCATGAGTTGAATACATCAACTACAGTTTTTATCAGAGGCGTCGCGTGCCTCATTTATCCGGGACGGGACTTGACAATCCAGCTTCTCACTCTTCTTAATGTTTTTGATGAATGCCCGTCGAAAATTTGTGCATGGTGTTTGACGGAGTTGACCAATCATGCCAGGATTGTAGAATGTTTTTTTCTATTTTAATTTGAATTTGGTTCGGAGTTTCTACCGCAGTTTACACCTTGTACATAATTTTTGCTTAACACAATAAAAACAACCATAAACAAACAAGAATATCCATCGCTTAAAGCACTCCGTGGACCCTATTTTCCAACTTTACTTTCGCAAATATAAACAACTAGCTGAGTGTGCCCGGCCTTGCTCGGGATTCAATATTAGCTTGAGTTTATGCGCCGATTTAAAAAAAAAAGCATGCTATATTGTACGTAGCCCCCCCCCCCTTATTATCTAAGGGGCTACCCCCTATGATTATCTCCTTATACCCCCACACTCGCCCCCACATGCCTAATTTGGTTCCATTTGCTTGATTAGTTCTCGAGTTATGCAGAAATTTCTGTTTCATTTGTATGGGAGCCCCCCCTTACAGAAAGGGGAGGGGTCTCGAACCATCATAAGAACCTTCCACGGCCCCAAAAACCCCTGTATACAAATTTTCACGCCAATCGGTTCAGTAGTTTCCGAGTCTATAAGGGTCAGACAGACAGACAGACAGAAATTCATTTTTATATATATAGATAGATAGATTAACGACGTCATTGACGTCAACATTGATTCCGGCATAGCTGCCAGTCAGATTGATGTGATCCTCAGTCCTTTTTATTCCACGATTGCTACTGTCAAATCGACCAATCAGCAACTGGCTCGGATATGACAGCAAATTGGCTCGAAATCGCTACCCGATTGTCAAGTCCCGTCCTAGGGTCAAGTCCCGTCCTAGGTTTAAGTCCCGTCCTAGGGTCAAGTCCCGTCCTAGGGTCAAGTCCCGTCCTAGGGTCAAGTCCCGTCCTAGGGTCAAGTCCCGTCCTAGGGTCAAGTCCCGTCCTAGGGTTTTATCACAAAGAAGTCGAAGAGTTATCTTTTGACTGAAGCGTAATGAAGAATATCCGTCAAGCACTTCCGAAAACATTTTTTAATACAAAACAGTGTCAAAATCTAGAGAAAATTCATGAAGTCCCCTGGGTAGCAAACTTGAATTAATCAACTCTTTTTTAACGTAACCTTCGAAGAAATTTGATTGAGAGATTTACAACTGACAAGAGAGTGAGAGCGAGTTTTTGCGCTCTCTTTCTCCATTACGCTCTTTGCCTACAATCAGATATCCAAGTGCACAACGAAAAATGCACGCTTTAGGCACTCATACATCGCAAATGTTCTTCTAATTTAAACTCACACATTCATACCGGTCTGCAAGTATGATACACGTCCAAAGCGTACCAGACTGCTGTTTCCGTGTTGCTCCCGTGTGACGCGTGACTGCTGAAAGTTTCAATTACAACTAGTGGTGCAAACCGCCATGTATTGTGTAAAATTTGTGGTATGTTTCAAGAGGTGATAGAAGGTCTGCTTGGCTTACATCAAGCATTTGACCATTCACAAACTTGCCACCCGCCACCCAAAAAAGCTCGGTGCACATTTTAACGAGTTTTGTCATGGTAGTGATATCGACTTGCTTGAAATCAATGCATTAGGGATTAGGCAGACCATCCGAACTGAATTTAATCCTTTTTGAAGCAAACCAAGGTCGAAGATTCAATTGAGCCGTACTATAAAATGGTGTATTCATGGTCACTTGTGGTCTGGAGAATCTATAAAAATCGAAACGCATTTTTTTTTTAAATTATTTACACCTGTGTCGTGAACAGGTTGCACATGTGGACGCGACGCCACTGGTTGACCCCATAGAATAATTCATAGGCAAGAGAGCTACAGAAATCGGCCCGGTTCATTTTTTTAAATTTTCGTCCGATACCACAGCTGTTGGAGAACATTTCGCGCACTTAGAATCTCAATCAAGAAAGTCCGATAAGCCACATAGTTTTCATTGCGTATTGCGCCAATCTTTGCTGAACAAAATCAAGCAATTCATAACACATACATCGTAAAAATAAATGGAACCGAAATCCAAAATTTCATCAATTTTGGTGCACTGCAACTATTTTAAATAAGTACGATTACATAGCAAAAATTACTATCATAGCGCCCTTCGACGGGACTTTGTATTGGAGCGAGCTGTCCATTTGTTAGCTTACTGTCAAACAGTGAAGCAATTATTTTTCATTAAATCTTGATTTAAAAATCGAGATGAAAGTCTATGGGATCGACAAAATATATCATTGTGCTCAGAAAACGAAGCTCTTTCAGATGATGCAAAATAACCGATATATATTTTTCAAAATTATAGAATTCAATTATTCTTCATTCGTAGAATAAACTGATACTACTGTTTCGCTTTCCTTCAGCTTTTATTCCCCCGACAATTCTCACCACACCGAGGGCCATTTGTTGATGCCGCATTTCTAATTTCAAACAGGCTAGAGCCCGATGCCGATCATGAGATTGAACATTGCGGCCATCAAAACGAATGTTTTTCTATAAATTTTGCCGAAATATCAGGGCAGGGATGCAGCTTATTTCGACAGGGATCCAAAAGGATCGTAAAGGATGCTGTGTAATCCACCTGGGATACTGAGCAATCCGACGAGGACGTTGTGCATCCCGATGAGGAAACTACCCTAGCAGCATATTTGTCACTGAACGGGTGTGGTTACTTGTATGTAAATGATTTCAGCCACAATCAAGTTGCAGCAACTTATTGTGGTGGAAGTGTGCTACTTGGGTACTATCCGATAGAAACGCTGTGCTTCAAAAGGAACACCTAGGTCCAACTGCGGTGCTGGGCATCCAACAGGGATGGTGGCATCTCTGGAAGAACAATGCTATCCATCTACCTGGGAACTGGAATTAAACGATGTCAGTTGGTACTTCAACGGGGACATTTGGCAATCCGAACATAACATTGTGGTCCGGCTGGGACGTTGACGGATAATTTTGCCGGAATGGCGATGAACGGCTGCATTTAATGCGAAACGCAAAGACTTACATTTGATTGGAGAGAGTCCTCCTTGAGCAATAGCGATGATAGCGAAGTACAAATTCTATTAGTGACCAACGTTGAAAAACCTCCTCCAAGCGCGATCGTGGTCAGGGCCCTGCGTTGTGTATTATATTTGGCGACTGACGGAGATCGAACCACAGAACAATCGAGCAACGGATTCAATATTCTTCTTTGTTGATTAATCTCACTGACGTTTTAAATTAGCTTTTGTTCCTCCGACAGGTATAAAGCCTAGCCGGAGGGCAGAACCTTACTTAAATAATAACAATCAATATTTGAACATATATAGCTATCACGCGAAATTGATGAGGCTCGGTAGCCTAGTGTTTACCATTTATGCTTACTGAGCCAAATTTCGGGAATTCAATCCCAGGCCCGTCCCTTTCCTCGTATTTGTCACTATACCTAATTTGCTATCCCTATTAGATTTAAATAAACAAATCTACCTTACCGACCGCATCACTTACCACAGTGAATCCAGATAAAATATAACCTGACCCACACTACTACTTTCGGTCCCATGGCAATCGTTGTCATACTAATTATCCTTCCCCGACCGTGTGGACGTGCCTGGCACCGATTTATATGTATATATATGCTGATATATATATATATGCTGATATATATAATAGCTTTTAAGTGAATTTGCACATTGAAAATAGGTAAGCTAATCCCCCATCTATGGGTAGAGATGAACTAGCCTAAGGCTAAAAATCTCTTTAATAAAGAATTAAAAAAAAACCCCATCTATGGTTATCTGTGCAATTCCACTTGTTCTAATCAGAAACGGAGTAGCAACCAAATACGATATCCATGGTCTTTTTTAATAAAAAAAAACGGTGGAAAGACTACCCGAAAAAAAATAACAACAAAAATACAATAAAAAACAATGTAACAATAAGACGAAAATTATTGTTTTAACGATGATTTCTATTGTTACGTCTACAATAAATTTACCTTGATTAATGTTGTACAAAACAGCAAATTTCATGGTAAATGGAAAATGTACAATAAAAAAGGGGGGTTGTTAAGTATCTTAACAATGAAATTTTCGTGATTTCCACATATATATTTTTTTTTCAATAACATTACATATTATTGTTATTTATTGTTATTTTTGGTTGGCGAATTTATTGATTAAAAAAAATAACAGTGTACTTTAGAGTGTATGTGTTGGCTTGACAGATCTACAGATCTACTACTATCGACTTTAAAAATAAATCGAAAAAATAAAACATCGCCCCGGGAAGGGAAGGGGGGTGGTACGGGTGGTTACGGGTGAGTCCTTTTTTTACTGGTTATGGATTGAGATTCGATCCGGAACTTGTGAGAAATGGAGGTCAACTCCCCTGCACTCGATCCCTCTAGGTCACGTCTCCTTGGTCGTTGAGCGTCGTTGATAAGTTAATGCATTCAACTGGAGAGAATCGCCCATGAAATATGCTTCCACCTGAGAGTTATTTCGTGACATCTTCAAGTGGTGGATTTTTTATTATTATTGTATGATTATTGACTGCACGGAAAAGGTCTGCATTAAACGGGATTCAGATGAGGCAGGAAGAGTTGAGTTCAACTAAAACCGATCTGGTCGTAGGCGTTCAATTGACTTGGCAACGAATAGAGCCAAACGAACTGTCAAAGCAAGAGCCATACGAGCAGCGCCTATCTTGATAACATTGGCAGTGTTGCTGACCCTCTCATAGTCTGCATGCTTCAATCAGATTTATTTTTATTGTTCGTGAAGTAACCCACAATGAAAACACACCAATATTTAATGTAACAACAATTTTTATTGTAATAGAGTTGTTCATTATTGTTCGTGATCGAATCATGTTAACAATAAAATAAATGAAAAATACAATACAAATCATTGTAACAACATTTTATTATGTACATTCATTGTACAGCTAGGTAGCAGTTTTGCCGTTTTCGGAAGAGTACAACATTATATCAATAATTTTTATTGTCGACAATAAATATTAATGTTAGAGCATTGTTTCCACTGAAAATTTCACTGTAATTTTTTTTTTCGGGTAGTAGTTATTTGATAATTGGCTGGAAAACAAACAGCGCTCAGAGTACAACCATTTAAGGATAGGATGACTTACAAATGCTTTAGATTAGATTTATAATTCGATTGTTCTTCTTCTTCTTCCTTGCATTTCAAGCTAATTGCTTATCGCATATTAGCTTATTGCCTGTTCTCAACTTAGTTTTCTAGATGCACTTCCACAGTTATTAATTGAGAGCTTTCGATGCCTGTACCCAGGGTGCCTTCCATTCATTTTGACTAAGAAAATGCTTTATGAAATTATGGAATAATAAGATTATATGATAATATTTTGTTTGTGTAAGCAACAAGAAAATATTGTGAAGTTTGTGTCTGACGCATAATACCTGCCAATTTTGCTACATTAGCGTCGCAATAAGCGATTTTGTCATTTATCTCACCCACTCTTCGCTCTTCACTCTTCGCGAAGAGGCGATCAGAAAATCGCTCATTGTGACTCTGTTAAAGCTAAATTTACATGTTTTGTGTGTCAAACATAAACTTTACAATCTTTTCTTGTTACTTACACATACAGAATATTATCATAATATCTTATTATTCCACAATTTCATAAAACAAGTTTTTCGCCAAAATGAATGGAAGGTCGCCTATACTATTTTTGCATTAGTATAATTGTGTGGCAAGTACAATCATACACTATGCCAAGGGAAGTCGGGACATTTTCAACCCGAAAAATTCCTAGACTGGAACGGGAATCGTACCCAGCCACCTCCAGTATGGTATTGCTTTGTAGCTGCGCCTTTACCGACTGAGCTAAGGGAGGACCATTGTTTACATTTCCACATTGAATAGCCATGAACAGTCATTTATCATGGATACAAAAATCTCTTCCTCGCCCACGAAATAGACAATTTTCGGTTTCCACGCTCTACCAATGTTCGCACCACCTCTGATAGCGATGACTACACACTTAGAAATTATCGCCGACATCGGTAATTTTTACCGAAATCTGAACAGCTGAACTGTTCGGTAAAATTTATGCAATTCAGTTCAAATGCTTTTCAGCTACTTTGAAACTAAATCTCCACTAAAATGACTAAATTTGATCATTTAAACAAGGTTGAACATGTTTTAAAAATTATTTTCAAATTCAATAGCCTTTAAAATGAAGGTCAAAGTTTTACCGAACATTCAGCTGTTCTGATTTCGGTAAAATTTACCGAACACGGAACCAAAATCTTAGTGTGTATGTTTCCACCTCGTTTATCAGCTCAGATCAGCAAATGACGTTCGATAGAATTTTTTACATCATCGTTTTGAATGATTTGCTTAATGGGGCTGAACCCATATGTATTTCAATTTGGGATGACAGTCATTCTACAGAGAACATTACGTATTTCAACTGAGGTCCGTTCTCTTCACGTATCAATGTTCATGTTCGACAGGAGCATCATTTTATTACAAAACAACCGGTTGCAGCTATCATTCGAAGAAGCGATTTCGAGGTTTGGATTTGAATAGTCTGAGGTTTCATTCGAACAGAGGATGATGTTTTGGTACAGTGTATCGCTAGTAGTTTTCGCATTTCTAATTTCAAACAGGGTAGAGCCCGATACTAATTTTGTTCATGAAATTACTTTGGGTCAGGTTTTGCGTGAAGCAAATGAGCTGCATGTTTGCAGAGAGACTATTTAAGCACTAACAAACCAAATTTTTCATGGGGAACGAAAATCTGAGAAAATTTCATAAAAGTTATAATGGCCAAACATCAATTCCAGATACAAAAACACGCCACATTTCAGTGGTCTTCAATATTTAACCTTTCAATGCATATGACCTCGGATATGACGTTAAGTGCACATTTAGTACACGGTAAGAAAAAAGTATCTATCTAACCTTGACTTCTTTGTCTCCTATTCTCCTTTGAATGTTGTCAAAAACGGAGGATCAAAACCAACCAACAGGGGTGGTAAAGCGTGGTAGCCCAACGTTGAGTATAATCATATTTACGTACTTTTAGGTACAATAACTTACTTTTGGGTAGCAGCAAACGAGTGTTAAATTCCATAAGAGTTACACACAAGTAAATGAAAACTATTTGACCCACTTTACATACTTCTGGCTACCTGCACTATAGTGCCGAGATGTGTGAAAATAACTTAGTTTTGGGTACTTTTATTTCTTACCGTCTAGATACAGCCTCTATTGACACGCATAATAGCACTAATAACCTACTAGCTCAGAGGCTTTGCATTAATTTAACTGAAGAAGAGCAAAACAGTTCACTGATAGTAAAAAAATTAAGCAGTTTTTCATTAGTTTGCAAAATAAAATCGATTGACTTAGCAGTACCCTGCTAATAACTATTTTGACAACTAATGCTGAAATTCAGGGTTGCATCCACTCATTTCGCTCACAATCAGCGATTTTATGATTCGTGAGCGCCCCTCTGGTTACGGTAGGTAAGCTTAAATTTAATCTTCTTTCGATACAGGTAGCTTTTAATTGAAAATGTACCTTGGTTTAATTTATTCGGTAAGTTGCGATGGTTTCTTCAGTCGAGTTTAGTACAATACATGAAAAAGTCTGCACATTGTAGACGAAATACGCGTATCTGTCAAGGATAAGCAATTAAGGAAGTGGATTTAAATGGAAGTTACTAATCCTTCTCTCTTTCTTTTTACTCCTTGATACACTTATATGAAAAGAAAAATCAAAAATAAAGTTGTGGATCCCTGTGCTACTATGGGAAGGAGAGGTTTAATGGGAAATCAAGCAATGCAATTAAGTCTTGGTGTTCTTCCTGGCTTTAGTTACTAAATGACAAATGACAACCAAATGAGCAAAGAAAATCGAAACTTCAACGCCTTGTATGCAGCAGATTTGCACAGGACCTTTCAGATTGAAATAAAAACAAACTTCGGAGCTATCAGTTTATTCTATTTGATGAGTACCCATTGAATCTTACCTAAATCATTTGCATTTACAGGAAAGACGATGCAGAAATATTTGCCGGTGAAATGATTTCGCAAATTCTCGTGCCTCATCCTGCCTTAGGCTTTCCAAAGAATATTACGTTGACCTATACAACATACAAAGGATGGCTTACGCGAGGTTTATCGTCATGGAGTATCAACAAAATCATTCTGAGCGATGGATTTGGGAAGAGGTTAAACCCGTCAATATGAATATTGTTCATTGTGTTTAAATAGTAATACTCCCTTTTCTATTACAGTTTCTCATTGTGTAAGCAAATGCACTTAGATTCGAACTCTCCGCTTCATATGACATTGATGCCTGGAGAATGTGAAGAAGAAGATGACTACGTTCACCAATCAACAGACGATGATCAATCAACAGATGCACCAGAGGATAGTGATGAAGGTGATGAGTATGATGATGCATCCAAAGGACACAGCAACGAAAGAAATGATGTCAATCCCCATGCATATCCTTCACACACCTTCCGAGGTAAAGGGCCACACATTGACCACGATAAAAACTTAGACACGCAACCGTGGCAGCCAATTGTTATTGATCTGCCGAGAAGTTATCGTAATACTGATACGAATAGCTCATATCCCGTTTATATTACTCCGTCTACAACTATCCCTACCACGACCACACTGGAAGCGATAAGTGAACCAATTTTGAAACGTGGTCAACACGAAGCAAGGAAGTTAAAAAATAAAAGCAATGATCGTAGCAGTGACAAGCGTTCCATTGAAACGCCTCCCAGCAAGGAGTCATCTGCACCACCACCGCTTCCAATCTCCACCGTGGAGAGTAAAATGATTACCGTACAACTGTTTCCCTACCGATTTGCGAACGTTTTTGAAAAAGCTGAAAGATATGCAAGACTGACCTTATTGCCATTACTGACGGAACAATTTCCACAGTTTTTTAAAACCAAGTCAAATGACGATGAAACGTCCGAGTTAGAATACGTAGAGTTCAATCAAACAGAACCAATTCCAACCATTTACAAAACCAATAAAACGGACAAACCGATTGCTATTGATAGGCGGTCTGATTCTCTAGTAGCCGCAGCTAGCGAATCATTTGGAGAACAAAGAAATTTTAATGGTGGAGATAAAATTGATGTCCTACCGCCCAGCACACGCAAAGCTTTTATCAGCGAAGATGCTCTATTCCAAATGCACCGAATAGAGGAAACAAGCGGAGCTGAGGATTCTTCCAGTGTCGACGACGAAACCCGGGAGGATATCATTCGAATCGACTTGCCAACATTCAAACCTCACAAGTCGAAGATGATGACGCTTGCTGAACCACAGCAGTCGAGATTCATCCCGCTCAACTACAAGGAGGAGAACGGTGAGGGGCTAATGACTAGCACAAGCAATGTGATGGGTGATATAAAACCAAACGATAGCAAAAGCTGAGGGAGAGAGAAAAATATGACAGTATTTAATTATATGTAATTAGTGATAAGAGTTAAACTATGATTTAATTATTAGCGAAATTATACGTACTTGAATACGTTTCTCTTCCAAGGTTGTGTAATTCATTCGAATCCATTGCATATCCATTTCCAATCCCTACTTGGACAACATTGTAGTTGTTCGGATTTTTTTATGGGTTGGTAGGTGGGCCATAAAATAAATACATTGAAGAAAACAACTTCTGTTAAACGAAAGCCATACGTTGAACAGGTTTAGAGACTTAAAGCTGGAAGTATGTAGAAATAACCATTTCCAGATTGCTTGGTACGTACAACGCACTGTACGCCAAAATTTAAAATTTCGCGACAAAAAAAAACAATTGAATAAATTGGATTAATTTAAAAAAAAAAACAAAATTTTATGTTGAACATTTAAGTGAATCGATGTGGCAACCTTATTTTTGATTGATCTTACTATCACCACGAAATTTTAAAAGCAAAACAATTAGAACCTACAAATCAGACAACAATGAACATGGAACTCCACATTTGCTGGGTCACATCGCAACAGTTTCCGAGATTTGTGCTATAGAAAATTTGAATGGATAGGGCATATCAGTTATCATGACGGTCATTTGTGGTCTCTTCAAGGAATCGCCTTATACAATGGTTTCCCAACTGAAAAGTAATTGCCTAACATTTTAATAAAGAGTTACTTGTTTTTGTTTCAACATATTTAACCGAAAAAAATGTAAATATTGCTGTTGATTTCATTATAAGAATTACCATTGACACATGTGTTTAAACCTCATACGCTGACAAGTGAATAATGACCTAACATGTGTTAAAGTAATGACGTGGATACACTTGTATGACAAACTATGAGGAGTAAAGAGCTACAGAGTCGCCGTCAGCGCGAATAGTTCCCCGAAAACGAACCACTTCAAGCTGAACATTGCATTAGGTCCTAAGTAACATTGACAGATTCTCTTCGCCGACTTTCTCTTTGCATCCCCACGGCCATGATAAGACATTCCCAGGTATTTTCAGCACACAGCTTTTATCTAGCATCTAATATTACAAACACAACAAGAAACGGTTATGTGCTCAAGTTATTAACGAAAGAGAAAGTCGACGAAGAGAATCGATCAATGTTACTTAGGACCTAATGCAATGTTCAGCTTGATATTACTCGTTACTACTCTTCTCTCATGATGGGAGCAACACGTAATAATGGGGTAAAATGTTTAAAATAATAGAATCTATAATTTCCGTTTCGTCGTAAATTCCATGTGTATCATTAAAAGAAATTTGAAGCTAGGGGAATTTGCGTATTCTCGGCAACCTAAGCAGCGACCTTTTTTTCTATAGCCGTTTTCTCTAAGGAACGCATACATATGCAGTATTGGTTTGTTTACAATCTTTTGCTGCCAGCTGCTCTAACAAGTTCAGTCGAAAGAATTGTCAGAGCGAGTATTGTCGGCAACCAGTTTTTCTTCGGCAACCGTTCCATTTGAACTGCATGTAAATCTGCTGTTCTATTATCGGCAACTCGAAATCAGCTACAATTTGTAGTGCGTGTGTTTCATTTCAAGAAAACCTTGCTAGATTGATTTTTCTCAGTGGTAAAAATATAGTCAAATTGAAGCTGAAAGCATAAAGAATCGTTTGCATGCATTCAGTGAAAGGTTTTCGTAAGAAAATCCAGTGAAAATAGTGTTTCAATTTGGGTTGCCGAAAATAGTCTGTCATGCCGAAGCCGTCATTTCCCCTATATAAAACAGCATCTTCAGCTGAATACTATCTATACTGACGATTTGAAGGAATCATGTCGAGCGAGAGAATCACCAACGTAGAGAGTTTATTTAGCTTCTATTAGTGGCTATATACAAGGAGAGCGACGAAAGTAACGCAATGAGTTTGTCTCGAACAATTATACATATTCAAAGTTAAAAGCGTCGTGCTCTTAATAAACGTAAGCATCACATATGGCATTAGAACAACAACAAACGATAAAAAACTTGCCTTAAAGCATTTGTGGCCCGGTGGGTTAAACCAGTGTGTGTTATGTGTTGTTATTGAATAAATAATTCCCTATTAAATAACTCCTCGAATGTTGTCCATTTCTGGTACTTTGTATTTTATCCATAGAAGATATTAACGGTTTAGATAATATTCGACAGGTCACAAGTCTCAATTAAACACAGTTAAAATCCGTTCATTGCCATCTTCTTCTTTAACTTTATTACGTCCCCACTGGCAATGGGATTTAACGCCGGCACTCAACTTAGTGTTCTTTAAGCATTTCCACAATTGTTAATTGATAACTTTCTGTACCATTTTCGCATTAGTATTCTTGTATGGCAAGTACAATCATACTCTAGGGAAGTCGAGAAATGCCAACTAGAAAAATTCCTAGACAGAACCGGGAATCAAACCCAGTGGCCTCCAGCATTGTGTTGCTTTAAAGCTGCACCGTTTACCGACTGAGTGTAGCGACTTCGCAGAACACGCCTATAAATAACCATAACTATGGTATAAATATCATAACATCCATACATTGGTAACACTAGAAGTTGAATTCTTATTGCTCAAAGTAAATGGTGCTACTTTCAAAAGTATGAAATTGATAACTTTTATTATCAAGGACATTATTTATGTCGCTACTGCGAATATTCATTATATAAAACAAGAGAGAAACAAACCTGCGCAATTTAAATTAGGTTCACGCTTGCGCAATTCATCGGCCTATGAATGTAGAAGGTTTGTCTAGGTGTTGAGGCGTATGATAGGAATTGGGCAAACATAATATTCGCTTTGATTGATTAGTCAGATTTAATCTTTTTCTTATTACCATTGTATTTTTCGATGATTGCAACTTTGTTTCAAAATCGCAAATATGGTCATTCAAAATATAAACCAAATTCTGTAAAATGTTTCGGAAATTTTAACAGCGAAACATTTGATCATTCCAATAGTTGAACTTTTTATTAATTGCCAAACAATATGTGTACAAGACGTTCACTAACCGAAAGACCATAAACTGAATGTCCGCTAAATGAGAGAAGTTTCAGTTCAAGGACATTTATCTGTCAAACGTGTGCATTTCAAAATGTTAATATGAACCAGATGAACACGAGGATGAGCATTGATACATTTTAAAGGCAATTGACTGTTTTTTTCCTTGATTTGTTTTCCGTCTATCTTGTTTTCCGTGCTGAGCACCAATGCTACCGACGCCAAGGAGGCAGCTCCCACACCTGGACCGCACCTATCGATCCATCAACTCATGAACTGGGGACCAACGGCTTTATTTCCCTTCCGAAGCAAGGCGTGATCAGAGATGCTATGTCTCAGAACATCCCGGTGGCGCCGACTGGGATTGAACCCAGGCCGACTGGGGAGAGAGGTAATCACGCTTACCACTACACCACCGGCGCCGCTACATTTGACTGCTGATTAGACACATGAAATGCATTTTAATGAACGAAACCTTTTATTTTTTCCTTGATGTGTTTTCCGTCGATCTTGTTTTCCGTACTGAGTACCAATGCTACCGACGCCAGGGAGGCAGCACACACACCTGGACCCTACCTATCGACCCATCAATTCATGGACCGGGGACCAACAGCTTTACTTCTCTTTCGAAGGAAGGCGTGATCAGATATTTTATGCCTCAGAAAATGCCAGCGGCTCCGACTGGGATTGAAACCCCCCCTGGGATTGAAGAAAACATGTTTAAGTTAGCAATCGTCTAGTGTAATTCTTTAAAAACAACATTTTGTTTGAATAACCAAACTATTCGGTATTTTGGTTCATGATATAATAACAGTGCTGGTCGATTTTCATACAAAATGCAATTTTTGATATATTGTAATATATTTCTGTTAATTTCTCTCGGAAATGATGGAACTTGTCAAAAAATCATCACTTCACTCTTTCCTTATAAACGGAAAAATTAAATAAAACTGATTTAAGAGCCCTGCTATTTATTTTGAAATCACATATAATGATGACATGTGAATGGATTTGGATCTGGGATCGAAATGTGAATACTGGGCGCCTCCGGATGATCTGAAACATTCGTAAAAATTATTAATTCATAAAAATGTTCAGAAGTCAATTGAAGAAATGATATTTGAATGAATCTTCCGGAAGATACAGAACATCCGGATTGAAACTGTTCCTAGAACTTCACGATTTTAAGACACTCCGAGATTTCGAAAATGTATGCCTTTGGTGTCCTATATCTTCTGAAAGGCTATCCCGTGGTCATCCTTCCAGCTTCACATTAAATCCATTCATTTATTACAACAACATGTAAAGGGCTGTACATCCGTACAAAAACAATTTCTATTATACGCTCTTCGTAAATTAGGTTGGACATTATTTCCTCTTCCATCATATGAAGCACGCTGCATGCTTATAAACATACAAAAATTTAAAGAGCGTCGTGAATATGCAATGGTTTCATTTGTAAGCGATATCGTTTCGCAGCGCAATGACTCCACAGAACTTTTATCAAAATAAAATTTCCATGCACCTACTCGGCAACTCCGAAATCGAAATTTATTTGCCATAAAACATCATCGCACAAATTATGCAAAATATGGGTCCGCATGATGGCCTCTTACAATCAATACTGCGAAACCATTGACTTTACAATGTCTCGGCATAAACTAAAACAATATTTTTACTCCATAAGGCATTATAACTCATAAAAAAATAGGAAAGCTGACACTGCTCAATTTTTATTAAAGACAAAATTATACTTTTAACCTCTTTTCCAAAGTTGACAAAATAAATAAATAAATAAATTTAAGAAAACAAAACTGTATTCGCATATGTGCTAGTCTACGTTGGTTGACGAAATAAATAAACTACGTAGATAGTTTAAGGGTGTTCAAAATTAAAAAAATATGGAATATTGTCTACGCATGGGACGGGGGGGGGGGGGTCAAAAATAAAAAATAAACTGTCTGCGTAGTTAATGAACAGACCCTAATAAATCTAAAAGTGTCTTTAATAAAGAAAAACAAGAGAAAACGAAAAAACGCAGAGCTCTAGAATAAGA